TCCTGGCCCACTGAAGCTGAAGGCTGCTGAGGCTGACAAACCCAAGTTTGACAAGTAAAAAAGCAGAGTCCCAATGTTACCAAACCACATGGCAGGCTGCTAATTCAGGTCCATTGACAGTCCCAAGATCAGCAGAGCATAGCAGGCTGCTGAATAACTCAGCTACATGAAGGGTTCAAGCGCGCTACAAGCTAGAGACCATTCCCAAAGCTGTTTATTACACATAGGAAGCAGACCTCATCCCTAAAGCAGCTACTCAGCTGCTTGTGGTAGATCCCACCATGGAGGTGATTGCCAGTCTCATCATGAGGAATAATTACCATCAGCTGCCCAGTCACTCAACCAGGCCCAGCCAAGCTGACATACAACCTTAACTACCACAGTGCCCATCAACAGAAGAACGGATAACCAAACTATGGTACGTACACACAATAGAACACTATGCAACCTTAAAGAATAATGTAGAATCTGCAAAACACCATATAACATGGATAAACTTGCAGGACATTGAGTCAAATAAGTCAATCACAGAAGGACAAATATTGTACTAGTCCATTATTGTAAAAAAGTCAACGAAAGGTTTATATATGTAAAGAAATTTTCTTTGTTGGTTACCAGGGGTGTGAGGGGAGGAGAGGGAACACTGTTAGATAGGTAGAGACAAGTACTGATTTGGGTGAAGAGAAGGGCAATGTACCAAATGTGAGTGATCAACATGGTGGCATTGAGAAGATGACGACAGAGAGGTGCATGGGAGGTACAGACAACCAAGATGAACCCTTTTCCACATACAGTACTGCATTGTCAGTGAAGGCAAACATTGATATACAGGTGGATAGATGGGTGAACAGGCTGAACTATTAGATATGTCTATGCAGGGTGGAGTGTGCCCATGACCATGTATAGTGTTGGCAGACAATGTTTCTACAAGTGTATTTGTATGTTCTGTAAGAATTCTCAAGTATATAGTAGAACTGACAAAAGACAAGGTTGTAGTCACTTCTTGGCCACAGCCAGCAAACCAAAGGGAGCCAGTCGTTGGACCTGTGGGCTTGGGACCATAGTCGCAGGTGACATCAAGCTCAACTGGCATAACATACTACACAAAAACATCGTTCCACATCCCACCTTGGTGAGTAACGACTGGGATCTTAAAAGCTTGCAAGGAGCCATCTAGATGCAACAATGGGTCTCTCCTCATCCAGAGCAAAGAATGAAACCAAAGACACGTAGAAACAGTTAGTCCAAGGGACTGGGACACCACGTGATCCTCCACCTATATGACTATGAGACCACAAGAACTAGATGGTGCCTGGCCACCACTGTCAAACACTTGGAGGGGGATGTATGTAGGAGATCCTGGATAGACAGGGAGAACAATGTGGAACAAAAGTCAAAAATCGTTTGGAAAAAATAAAAAAAGGAATTAGGTTTGCTGGTCTGATAGAACCTGATGAAACCACTGAGACCATGGCCCCTAGCTGCCCTTCAGGTCTGGAACTGAACCCACTCCTGTGGCTTCCAGCCAAACAAAAGACAGGCATATGAGCTGAACATTTACATTGGGCAAATACACTCCTTGGAGAGATGAATCATGGGAGATTAGAAGCGCTGTGTATGCACAGGGAGGCAGTTTAGGGGGCAGGAGTGCATGGGAGGGAAAGACACAGGGAAGAGGTAACTATGGGGAGGAAGTAAGAGGGGAGCTATTGCATTGTGGGAAATTAGTCAATGACATGAGACAAAGTGTATGTGAGCTGCTGTATGGAAAGTGAATTTACTCTGTAAACTTAAGAAAAAAAAAAAAAAAAGGATTGAAATCCTGATGGTGTTGAGTTGGTGTATATTGTTACTTTCACCCAAAAAAAATCCTATCAAGCACAGGACACACGAGGTCACCATGAGTTGGAATCGATTCAATGGCAATAGATAATAGCTTTAAAGGGCCTCCCACAAATGATGCTGATAGTTATTCTTGTACGTATGACCCCTTATCCCTTATGGAACTGGACATAAATGTCCCTGTAATACATATAAAGTGGGACTGCTGGATCATACAGCATGTACATAATTAATTTCACAGTATTTTCACAAAATGTTTAAGTGTAGTCCAAAACAGAAACGACATTAATCCACACTCCTTCAAGTACTAGACACCCATCTCTTCACATCCTTGCTAACATTTGGTATCACCAGACTATTTTGCCTACTTGATGGGTATAAAATGGTATCTTATCAATTTGCATTTCTGGTTTTAAATGCTCTTGGAGGATTGATTTGTACTTGTTGGCACTGAAGTTTCCCTTTCTGTGAATGCCTAATCATATAGTTTGCCCATGTTTTCCTTTTAGTTTACTGTATTTTCTTATTGAAGTGTGAGTTGTATGGTCTAGATATTAACCGTAATTTGAACTATGCATATCAGACTTTTGGTTACAGCAATATTGTTATTCAATATTGAATTAGACTGTAGTGATACCACTTCAGAAACCCGAGGGGTTGCTATGAGTCAGGTCCGACTTGACAGCACTTAACAGCAACAACATGCCTCTCCCCTACACGTTTTTTTGTTGTTGTTGTTCACTTAATTTTCTAGGTACTTTGTCACTTAAACTCACTCCCCACCCCCACCTGGCATCCCAAACACACACAACCTGTCAAAAATCTTTCAGTGATTTAAAAACCTCAGATTTTCAGTTTCATCTTTTTAATGACATCTCTTCTGAAATGCTGCAGCCTGGATCACTTGTAATAATGCAGATATAGCACAGAACCTCATCTCATCATTCTGGGGAGTCTCATCTTTTGAGTTGGTCCCTTGCTTTGTAATGAAGAAAAGATCTCTGAATACAGTTACACATCCTCCAGAAGTTTCCCAAGAATGAATAAGAGACAAATGCTTCAGATCTTCCATGTCTAAAACGTCTTTATACAAAAAAGCTCCCACATTGAATTCATACTATGAACGGGTATATAATTCTAGACTGGAAATAATATTCCTTATTTTGTAAGCAGTGCTCCATTGTCTCTACATGATGTGCTTTGGCATGGGCTTCTTTTCATCCTTGCTGTTTATTTAGCACGTTGAATCCTTTTAGTTTAGAAATCACTAGCCTTCATCTCTGGGATTTCTTGAATTATTTGATGATTTCTAGCATTCTAGTCATTCTTTCTCTCCTATTTTCTATCATTTTTGTCTTTTTGGTCTACTCTTTTGAAGATTTCCTCAACTTTGTCTTCCAAATCTTTTATAGTTTTTCATTTCTGATCTCATATTTTCTAACTCCCCCAAACGCTCTTCTTTTGTTCATCTTTTAAAGCATCCTGTTCTAATTTTATGGATACATCACATCATTTCATATTTCTAAGGACCTTAAAGATTTGTGTTGTTGTTGCTAAGTTTTCACCTCCCTGATGAGTCTTTGTTTCTTCCAGGTTGCTTCTTTTGTTTGTATGAGTGTCCATCATTCATGTTAAAAGCATTCTTCAGATGTCTGCTGATCTTTCGCTTCATTTATATTTACAATGCAACTCTAAAAAGCTGACTCGGGAAGAAAAAAAAAAAAACACTGCTGTTGAGTTGGATCCGACTCATAGTGACCCCTCCCTTAGGTTTCGGAGGCAGTATCTCTACAGAAGTAGATTGCTCAACCTTTCTTCCGAGGAGTGGCTGCTGGGTTTGAACTGCCAGCCTTCTGGTTAGCAGTCACATGTCTTAGGCACTATGCCACCAGAACTCCTAAATAAAACTACAGCATTTAAAAATATGATACTGACACAAAGACAAATAGTTACTAGAAAAGAATTAAAGATACTGTATACAGTGTACAAACAGGCCACACCAAGTGGGAAAAAATGAAATTCACTCCCTGACTCATACTACATAACAAAGATAAATTCCAGGTAAATTAAAAAACTTAAATGTAAAAGGTATAACTATAAAACTTGAAGAGGATAATAAAAGAAAATATCCTTTTACCTTTGAGTTAGGGAGATTTCTAAAAGACCCAAAGAGCACTATTCCTAAAAGAAAAGATAAATTTGGCTAACAACTCTGTTCACCAAAAAATATAATGTTGTTGTTATGTGCCATCAACCCAACTCATAGCGACCCCTCCTTGGGTGTCCAAGGTGGCATCACTATGGAAGTAGATTGCCCAACATTCCTTCATAAAGAATGAAAAAATAAAATACCATAGCTATCTGCTTATCTCCTCCTTGTTCTTGTGCTATGCTTTTTCAGAAAAATCCCTTGTCATTTTAATAAGGCTTTCAGAGGAAATGGAGGTAACTGAATTTGTAAAACCAGCCACCTTTTAACTACAGTACTAAAACCTTTTTGAAAGAAAATATTTTACTTATTTTAATGTATGTGAGGGCAAACAAAGGGAACTTCAGAACAGAAAGCTGAATATTTTGTTACCTGTATTTTCTCCAACACACATTAAAATAAAAACTTAGACAGTAAAGCAAGACATATTTGGCCATGTACTTCCTCAAATTATCTTATGAACTATCGAGTCATAGTGATCCTACGCTTAGGAAAAGTTATCCCTCACTTCCACTCCTCCCCACCCCACCAATACACCTTTTTTCTGAATCTGATGCATCATCCCCTTTTGGAAAATTTCTGTGAATTATCGTTAGTTATCTCCTCAGTAAGGGAAATCACTTTTACTGATGCTTGACTCTTACTTACCAAATCAAGTTTTGGAAGTGGCACAAAAAATTAAGAAATAAGGTGAAGGTTGTGGCCCAAGATAATTTAGGAAGCCTTTGGATGGTGCTAGAAAATGAAACAGCCTTGACAAAACCAAGACTGAGGAATTAGCATAAATAAAGGTTTATTGGTCAGCTTATGTGAGTGACATACTGACATATCCCCAATTCTCTGCTCCATACGTCCAAGTCCCTGGTGTGGGAGGAGAATCTAAGCCCACTGGTGATGAGTAATGGGTGGGAGATGGAAAAGACATGAAGGCCTCTAAGGATTAACAAGTCTACCGGAACCGGAACCAACGTCCAAGGAATAAATCCAGAATGGAAGAGGTATCGTCCAGCGCTGGTGATTCTTGAGCTAGGGAAGAAAGTCATACACATAAATAGGGTAAATGAGAGACAAGACGGGGACAAAGGAGGAATAATATTAGAAGTTAGGAAAAAAAGGGCTTGCCATCCTAAAGTTATCGAGAAATGTACCCCTTTGATTCATACTCTTCACTCACCATCTCTAGAACTGCCATCTGCTTCTTGACGGGTTACTGTGGTCTCTGTCCGACCTTCACTATCTACCACAGTCCGGTGCTCCTCTACTGTCTACAAGGAGAAGTTTTCACCACTCACTAAAATGAGTTCAGTTGTTTCTTTACACAGATCTGTTTCTAGGGCAACCCTTGTCCACAGTTTCCTTTATCCCTTTCTCCCAGCTCACCCCATCTGGCTTAGTGATCTTGGTCACAGAGACACTCTTGAAATAGGACCTAGGCTGGGGCTGTAGAACTGGGCCAAGGCCCTCCTGGGAAACCTGGGAATCCAGATCTGGAAGGGGAAAAAAACGAAAAAACAGGAGAGGAACAGTACAACGGAAAAAAAAGGAGAAATGTGACAAAGAGAAGCTTCCGGGAAGGAAAACAGAGGGAACATCAGGAGAACAGAGAGCTAGTGAATATCCCCTCCTTCCAGACTCACCTTTATCCTCTCGGGCTCTAGGATGGGGAGCCACAGGCCACATATCATCAAACTGCAGAAGAAGTCAAAGTAGGTGAAACCTGAAACTTGAAGGGTTACAGATCCCAAACTACTGCCAAGTTCCAAGACCACTTTTCCCCCGAAAGAAAAATTCCTATTCAGTATAGCTCTATTTACTCACCTCTTCTTTCATGTTTTAGGTATTCCTCTACCAATAAGCTTTCCTGACATGACACTTCCCTATCCCTACCAAACAGTTCTCCTAGACCATTTTCATTTTTTAAGAGAGACAGACAGAGAACTCCCATTTTCCCCCCAAACAAAATCCTACAAGAATCTTATAATAGAAAAGAGATAAATAAGCTAAGTGAAGGGTCTAGGACTCCAACCCAAGTCTATCAGATTCCAACAAAGATTCCAGTCTTTGCACACTATTAGTTGTCTCCCACAGGTTCTCACTTCAGACCCAGATAGGATACTCACCCTATGAAAAGGTCTCTGGGAGCCCCAGTCTGGTGATGGTTTTGGGGATTCAGTTTCTGTATCACCCTCCACAATCCCCCCAAAGATCCTGGGCTGGTGACTATCTGGATACTTAAGCATTGAATCTCGAAGTGTCTCTCCCTTCCGCTGTCTTTCACCAGGTACCTCTGACTCAGGACCTGGAAGTTCTGCAGAAAGTGGCAGGTCGATGCAGAGGGTGGGAAAAGACTTGGGCTCTTTAAACCACCCTGGTATCACCAGTCTTCTCATACTTCCCATTCCCCAACTACTCCCTGCAGGCTCATTTCACCCACCAACCCATTAGAACCCATAGGTTCTCCCTCAAGGGCAGCCACACACCAGGAGGGTGAGAAGGCAAGGTCCAGGCCCCCATCTCGCTGAAGATGCTATTGAAATCCCGTATTAGGTCATCAAAGCCGAAGTTATAGTGGAAATACATCCCTCTTCCTGGGCTGAAGCTGAAGCCAAATTCCTCTGGGGGCTGGGGATCCCCAAACCTGGGGCTTCCATAGCCCCATGTGGCTCCTTCTCCTTCTTCTTCCTCCTCCTCATCCTCATCTTCATCTCGAGTCATCCCTCCAAAAAAGGGATCTCTGTGGCTGGGGGTGGAGGCAGATTGGCCACCAAGATTTCAGCACCAGTTAGTAGTTCTTAGCCATAAAGTCTAGTCACGGTGGCAAAGTGTGACAAGAGTAGGGGTCTGGGATGCTGGCAGGGGGTTAGAGAATTGGCTATCCAATCACAGCTAACAGTTGCTAGCACATTTACTTAGTTTTTATCGGTCAATCCTCACCTCACAGTTTACCCTAATTTCCCTCCCTCTGCCATTTCTTCAATGTCTACCAGCCCCTCCCCTCCCCCAAGTTATGCTCACTCGCTCATCCTCTTCCCCAGATCCCCATTGTCTTCCCCGCCCGGGTGCCTGTTGCATCATCCCAGGTTGGAGAAAGGCTTGGGTGGCCGTTTTTTCCTCCCCTTAATGACTACCTTGGTTTTTGTCTTAAAGTGAGCGCTCAAAGTTGTGACTTTGGTCCTCTCCGCAGTTGGAATAAGGAAGGGGATGTTTTACCAAAAATAGGGTGTTAGGGGCCAAACTGCCCCCAGATTTCCCCCTAGTCCGACAGGAACCCACGCTTACCCTTGACGTCCAGAAAAGCCGAAAAAGCCCCGGAAGAGGTCAAAGAGGCTCATTCCCGTATTGAGACTCGAACCTTTGAAAGCCACCCAAGGCCATTCGCACCAGCAGGCAGCCAGCGCCTCGCTGTCGGAAAGCGAGCGAAGCGTCACACCATACTGCCGGAAAGCAAACATGTGCTCCCGATACTATCGTAAAATGACCGTAAGCCGGACGTGGAAGGAGGCGGGGCCACGGACCTACTCAAATTCCGAAGGCTTTACCCTTACCTAGCCTGTCAAATCAGCTTCTTGTGGTTTGTGGTAGCGAATTATTTTCCAATGTTCACCTCCCTCCGATGTCACACTCTCCTTCCTGCTGACCGCCCGAGTCCAAAAAGGTGGTTCGAAGATTGGAGTCTTGTATTTTATACGGGAAAAAGCCGCCAGAGGGCAGCCCAACAGCACAAGTGAACAGCTCTGAGGCCCTCCTGCACCCCCGGCTCTACATACCCAGGGATGCCAAGTTACCTCGCCCCTCTCCTCAGTGTGGTTTCTAGACTGATTTGCATTGTTTAATATTACAGGAGCAGACAAAATGTTTTATCGTAGTAAAGACATGGGGACACACTCCTGTCTTCAGCCACTTAAGAGCATGTCATAATAAAGGACACTGTTTTCCTAATCAGACTTTGCAGTCAGCAGGAAACTGGTGAAGCATCCCGGGTGAGAAGAAAGGATTCGGGGCTGTAAGCTTTTTTTTTTCATCATAGACTACTTTCAAAGTCACTTCACTCTCCCTTCCCAAATGTTGTTGGCCTTGCTCTGGACTCCTTTCCAATGCATGGGTGTGACATGAAAACACTCAGAATTATTCTCTACTCCTCAGGAGGCATAGCCAGAATGCTCCTTACAAGCAAGGATGGCAAGACCTGCTTTGGACATGTTACCAGGAGGGGACTAGTCACTGAAGGAGTCTTGGTATGCTTGGTAAAAATCAAAACCAAACTCACTGCTGTGGAGTCAGATCCCACTCACAGCGACCCCTCCTTGAGTTTCTGAGGTGATATCACTACGATTGCCCAACCTTCCTTAGAGGAGTGACTGGTGGGTTTGAACACCAACCTTCTGGTTAGTAGTCAAATGCACTATGCCACCAGAGTGGCTGTGCTTGGTAGAGGGTCAGTGAAAAAGAGAAGACCCTCAACAAGATGGATTTACACAGTAGCTGCCAACAGTGGGCTCAAACACAGCAACTGTGAGGATGGCATAGGACAGGGCAGTGTTTTGTTCTGTTGTACATAAGGGTAGCTGAGTTGGAATCAACTCCATAGCATGTTAACAATAACCACCACCTAGGGGGATGGGGCTCTCATTTCTTTTATTTCCCTGAACCTTGACCCACAAAGCCATTTCTCTCTTTGAAACAGTCTCAGTTCCCTCTAAGACCCTTTCCACTCAATCTCTGTCCCTTTTCCCCTCATTGCCTGAAAGATGTTGTAGATGTAGCAGTTTCTGGAGTTTATGAAGACTTGTGGTGGTTCTTTCCAGGCACCAGGTTATGAGATTCTTAGGAATGAAGGGAAGGGAGTCCCCTCAACAGCAAGATACTAGAACATTAAGGTCAGGAGTTCTTAAAGGGCAAAGATTTCATTTTATTCCACTGCCTTCGGGGCCTGCTAGAGGTGGCCCAGTTGGTACAGTTATACTTATTCACCAAGCTGGTCATCGACGAGACTGAGGATATCCTAGATGGAGCAAGAATGGGCAGAGGCTGAAGGTAGAGGTTTTCTTTTTATATATACAAGACACATTAATCCATTAAATTTGAGGACACAGTACAAAAACAAAAACAAAAAAACACTTCAACTAATTCATCTGACAATGCTGTTCATATTCATGACGCCATTTTTTTGTTGTTGTTGTTTTGTTTTGTTTTCCTAATAGTAAAGGAGGAGACTTAGGGCTGTTGGGCTGATATATATTTGGGGGTCCCCCTTCCCACCTCACCCAACCACCACCAGGGTGAACAGGAGGACAAGAAGGAAGGGCAGGGCCCACAGCAAAGTTTCATAATCTTGAATGCAAGGGAGGAGGAAGAGGAAGAAAAAAAAAGGGGGGGATACAAATCCTATAATACATACAACAGGGTGGGGATGGTCTGGGAATGGGACAGACAGGAAGCTGAGGCATGGGATGGGCCGCTGGGGGTGGAGGGCAGCAGAATCCCCCCACATTCTTTTTTCTCTTTGATGCTGTTTCCATAGTTGCCAGGCTGAGAAGCCCTCTCAGAAGATGGGACCGGGAGAAGAGGAGGGCCAGGGCCTCAGTTGGCCCCCCAGCTGTAGCTGTTGTAGGCAGACTTGTTGGTCTGGGGCTTCTGCGGGATGGAGCTGGTCTGGCTACGTTGCCCGCTGCCCGTCTGCAGGGGAATGGGGAGGATCATGGGGAGGAGAAAGGTGTCTAGTTAGTGGGACAGATTTGTGAGATGTTCAGGTGGAGATATGGAAGTTGTCTTGAACTCTCCCATTGCCCTTGCTTAGAGACTCTGAATTCAGTTGTCAACCATGGAAAGTTCTTGTCTATGTAACTGCTAGAACCCCCTGACAAGCAAGGCATTTTCATCCTTTAAATAGCAGAAAGATGAAATGAGGGGAAGACACCTTGGCAACAAGACAATTCTACTCATTTTCAATTCTACCTTTTCCCACCCACCCCACCACTCTCCGCTGCTCTGGGAAAAGGCGGCTAACTGCAGAGAATTATGACCTCCTGGGGATGAGAGATCATAAAGTCATTTCATTTTCATTGATCCTCGAGTGCCTCAATTTGGAATGCTGTCTTTGAAAGCAAGGAAGCCCTTATTCCAGCTCCCCCGTCACCTATGATGAAAGAGAGGTCACTTGCACCATCCCAACCCAAACACACATCACATCTGTAAGCCCGTTACAGGCAAGGCAGGAGACTGCCTGAAGCCTCAGGGCTCCAGATGCTGCCCAAGAATCCTTCCCATTCCAGTAATCAAATATTTTCCAGAGTTGGGGGAGGGTAGAAAGAGAAGACATTAAGGAAGGGAAAAGGAGGAAGGGGAGGCCAGAGAGCTCAGCAGTGTGTGAGTGTGTGTATCCCGATTTGTGACCGTGCAATCTCTTTCCTCTTCAAGTTCCCTGAAGGTGTGGAGGTGAAATAGGGGCTGAAAAGGAGTGGGTTCAAGCATATCATCATTAGTTTCATTACCTGCTCCTCCTGCTGGCGCTGGCAACAGAGAATCATCTGCAAATATGGTAGCTGAGGCAGAACCAGGATATATGGAAAATAAAGGGACAAACTTTGACAATAGAACTCCACCATCAGAAGGGAAAGCTATAATGTCAGGGGAAAGGGAAGACTGGGAAAGGTAAGAGGGGAGGTGTAACCCAGGTCTGATGGGATGAAGACAACTGTTGTCACACGAGGAGGTAGAGGAGAAAGGCACCAAAGGAATAGGGCAAAAAGGTACATATGAGCCCTTCTCTGAGATCTCCTTTGCTGGCCACTTGTGTTATGTGCGCTTGTGTTTGTATGTGCTGTGTGCCCATGGCTGGCACTGGGGAGGGGTTGGGTGAAGGTGGTGGTGAAGAAGGGTAAAAGAAGGAAAGGAAGGCAGTTTTAAGGGGTAAGAAGAGGAAGGGTAAGGAGAAGGGCAAGTGTTATTACCTGGCCATCCTGCTGCAGATGATGGTGAAGGATCTGGGAATGCGGTTGCTGATGGGGGGTCAGAATGTGCATAAAGGGGGCAGGTGGGTAGGCAGCAGCTGTGGCCGGATTGATGGGCCCCCCACTTCCTAGGGCTGAAGGCAAGTTGAAGGAGGCAGCAGGAGTGCCGGAATGGAAACCTTGTTTCTCAAAGGACTGCTATCCAGGAGGATGGGAGAAGAGAGTAAAAGCGATCAGCAAATTAATCCTTACAATATCTGAGCCCAAGCTCCCTCACCTTCAGAAAGCAGCAATGGTGTCATAGAAGGAATGCTGCACCTGAAGTCAGATATTCAGATCTGAGGCCCACCTCTGCCTTTTAATGATCTTAGGCCTATTACTCAATCTCTCAGCCTCAGTCTCCTGATACATGAAACAGAGATGCCACTGACCTCATGGTTTTAAGGATCTAATGCAATAAATGTGAAAGCACTTTGTAAAATCTAATGTCATATATGAACATTGTGAAATTTGCTGACCATTCTTAGCACTTCCACCCGAGTTGGGTAGCACTTCCACCCCAGTTGGGTAGCAATCAGAACTTCTTAGATATTTCAGAAGAAATGAGTACACATGGAGGTGGAAGGTCTTGGCCATTTAAGCACTCCCCTCAAACCTCTAATACTTTCTATCAAATAAAAGCCTGTGGAATCATTCGAATGCCTCACTCTAGTTACTGGATTGGGAGCTCTGGTGGCATAGTGCATAAGGCATTTGACTGATAACCAGAAGGCTGGCGATTCAAACCCATCAGCCACTCCTCAGAAGGAAGGTAGTAGGGCAATCTATTTCCATAGTGATACTACCTCAGAAACCGAAGGAGAGGTTGTTATGAGTTGGATCCAACTTGATGGCATTGAGTTTAGTTACTCGTTTGTCTGCTTTCCTATTCTTTGTTATTACAACAATTTGCTATACTTTACTATGGGAGCTCTTGTGGCATAGTGCCTAAGGCACCTGCACCTGATTGCTAACCAGAATGCTGGCAGTTCTAACCCACCAGCCACTCCTTGCAAGGAAGGTTGGGCAATCTACTTCTGTAGTGATACTGCCTCAGAAACCCAAGGAGGGGTCGCTATGAGTCAGGTTCAACTCTACAGCACGTTAACAACAACACTTTACCATAACATTTCTCTCGCCTTTTTTTTTTTCCCAGAAGGTTAAACTCGTCATTTTCTAATAGGATGGGTTTCCCAACACCTCTCCTAGGATGGTTCTTGTTCACTGAGTTTCTATCATGAAAACTCTACCTCTTCTATGTTTTTTTTTTAAATAACACTTCTGTCCAGAGCCAGGCACCTACCTGGGTTTTGGAGTACACAGAACCCGAGATATCTGGCACG